TTTTGTCTTTTGGACTGGAACTGTGGCACTAAAACTTCAGAAATCACAAGATGTCGATAAAGGAATCTAAAAGCGAAATAGAGAAATTTCGTATGATGTAAGCTACTTATGTCCCAACTACTAGGATTACATGAACTAATGAAGGTAGTCCAACTAAAAATTGCTGCGTATGGCAAAGAGGACCCACGCTATCCCTCTCTATCGTTCATTGTAGTGATATAATTGTACTACTCATTCATGTTAGTGTCGCACCCTTCTAACCGGTTGTATCACGTCACACACGGTTGTAGATCTCTTCTTGCGGTCTCCTTACTGTTTATGCACTCCTGTTTTTTTTATGAATGATAATTACACACCTGCCTGCACAAATAGGCTGGGCATCAGTGAAGGATAAGATAAGCATCAGAGCTGGAGGATTTAACCACGATAGCTATAAAAAAAGATTCTAGGAATTCGATCACATCATATTCATCAGATTTCAGATTTATATATAGATTTATTTATTTATTTGCCATGTACAGGTTACATTTAGCACGTCAGTTACAAAATTATAAATCAATAGTAAACATTAACATAAATTTAATCATTAACATTAACATAAATTTAATCATTAACATTATCATAAATTAAAATTTGATCTAGACATAAATTCATTTATGTGATAAAAAGAATTATATTCAAGAAATGACTTCATAGTTCTTCTAAATTTTAAAATTGGTAAATCGATTACTTCTTTTGCCAATTTATTGTACAGTAATTTAACATGGCTTTGTGGCCATTCATTAATCACGTGATCTTTTTAAGCATCTTTCAACCCCCTCCCTCCTCTCCTTGGTGAGTGGTAGTGAGGTTTAAGATAACATACCCCCCCCCTTCCCCAACATCTTAAAATATTTAGAATATCATCTTTAAATACAGGTATAAACTATAATTCTATTTTACTCTGAAATTAAGGACTATGATAAAAATGTCTAGACTAGGTTGCACGTTGTTTTTGATTGCCATAAAAACAGAAAATCCTTGTGGTATTTCGTGATTTTTGTCAAACCCCTCCCCCATCCCTCTTTAAAGCCTCACGTGATTAATGGACAATCCCTTTCAGGAGGAATGAAAGTCAGCTGACATGGTACATTGCTAGCAATGGGCTTTATTCAATGTCCATGTCATTAGGTGGAAACCATCGTGTTAAATTCCTGGTGAATAATCCTACTGACCTCATGCTCATCCTATCATCCTACACTGGTGCCCCGCCAGCGTAAACCGTTAGCGCAGGCGGATGCACCATTCCATTATCAACCCTAAAAAAAAACCCACATTACTCCAATAATCCTTACTTACCCTCACTATTAGAGAAGTTAGCATAACTGAGTCACTTAGGGTTACTGCACTTAATTCTATGATGTCGATAAAAAGGAAATGAAACAAAATTGTGGTCCAATAAATTTATTATAATAGATTATTATTACAAAGTTATTTAAGTTCATTTGTATGGTGCGAATAATTGTACAGCTGTTTATTCTAAAAGATGTGATATTACATTTTTCTCTAAACTTCATTGGCTTATTACAATGAAATATATCTTCAATTCAATTCAAAATATCTTTATTCATGTAGGTCTATTACAGACTCTTATGATATGTCAAATCTACCGTCAGCTCAGAATGCTTTCGAGATTAGAAGAACTGACAAAGAATTATTCACGACGGATACCAATTGGAGTGACCAGAAACATTTGACGAATGATTTTATTATTATTTCTTATGTATGTTAGTTTATAAGGTATTTATATATGGGCCATGTGACCTGAATTAAATAAGTAAATTAATTTGTCTACAGTTGGCCTCGTGTTAACGAAAACATATGTAAAAAATGATTATATTATATCCATTAGCCACTGAATATATTAATTCCTTTTGTCAAAAATGTAATATCATACGCTGGTGGTCACTACATTCTCCCTAATTGAATTTAAGATTAAATTTTGTAATCATGTACAAGCTCATTTAAAAAGAATAAGACCCGAGTTTCTTGTCAGTTCTTCTCAGCTCGAAAGCACTCCAAACTGACGGTAGATTTGACATATCATAAGTCTTTAATATATTAAAAATAAAAATATCTTTATGTATACATATAAGAAATGATATTTTTATTTTCGCTCATTTAAAAAGAATAAAAGCTGAGTTTCTTGTCAGTTCTTCTCATCTCGAAAGCACTCCGAACTGACGGTAGATTTGACATATTACAAAAGTCTGTAGTAGACCTACATGACAAAGATATTTTGATTTGATTTGATAGTCGAATTATTAATATTGCAAATAATTTGCAATTTGCAAAATATATTACATTTAGAGATTCATATATATATATACATGTATCCTTCTTTAATATTTTGTTTTCTTGATATTATAATTTACATTTACAATACTTTATAAATATGAATCTTAATGAACTCCTTATCACCTAGTACCCATAACACAAGCTCTGCTTATCTTGGGACTTTAGTGACAAAAAATCGATGTTCTCTGTTGTTGTTATATGTACTTACAACGCTTAGTGCTTGGGACTAGATGGCGCTTAGTGAGTTATCCTGTTATATTTTATTGTTATTATTACGGCCAGCAGCCTTGGTAGTATTGGGTTTAAAACACCGCTTTACTTCCGAAAGTCGCGGGTTGGATATCTCGAACATTTATATTAATTAGTATGATTGTTTGTAGCGGCCAGCGTGGATTTCTATGTATATTATGTATGTACAAAAAAAATATCTATGTATTTTAATCAGTCGTTTAGTACAGTATTAACACAAGCTCAGCTTGTGTTATGGGTACTAGACAACTGATATAAATACATGGATACATTTTTTTGTAAATAAATACATATTATATATAGAAAACGCCCAGACCGATACAAACAATCATACTCACGAGGCTGTTTTATTAGCGTAAATAATAATTATTATTTAGGCTATTGTCGCATTTTCTCAGCTTTTGCTGGTTTTTTTTTTCGATTTAATATTATTATTATAATTACTGATATTTATATCTTAGAACTTATAGTTAACGATTTTCCTAAAATCTAATTGACACAGTCCAACCAGATTACATCTATAGTGTTTAATTTAAATAACTATTTTAAACATTTATTATAATTTGTGTACTTATGATAAAACAAATTAATTGACAGTTGCAATCATTTGTAAATATGAATAGTAATATGATCCTATTATTAAACACTAAAGTGACCATTTTAGACCTCATGATACCAGTCTTTATACATGTTAAATCTAAGTACAGTGCCAAATTTACTAGAAACTTCTATTCAAATTTTTCACTGTGCACTTGTTCATAATCAACTTTTTTCGATAAACAATATATCATTACAACATTATCTCAATGTTCGGTCTCGGATAGAACGAAGAATTATATTTTACTATATTTGAACTCCATAATCAAACGAGCACTTACCAATAAATACTCATTTTCAAAAAACAGTTCGTGTTCTGAAGCCTTCAGCTTTAATAAAACTGGTTAGTAAGAGCATGGTATCGGATGCTGTGCTATGAATACTATCATCTTAATTGATAATGTGTGTAGGTATCATCATCATCATCATCGCAGCCTGGAAGACGTCCACTGCTGGACATAGGCCTCCCCCATAGATCTCCATGACGATCGGTCCTGCGCTGCTCGCATCCAATGCCGACCAGCGATCTTGACCAGATCGTCGGTCCAACTTACTTTAGGCCTTCCCACGCTGCGTTTTCCGATCCGCGGTCGCCACTCGAGGACTTTGCTGCCCCAATGACCATCTGTCCTACGCCTATGTACCCTGCCCATTGCCACTTCAGTTTCGCAATTCTTCGGGCTATGTCGGTCATTCTAGTTCTTCTGCGGATCTCCTTTCTGATTCGATCGCGCCGAGAAATTCCGAGCATAGCCCTCTGAGTTACTTTGAGCTTATTCATGAGGCCCATAGCGACCACGTCTCTGTACCGTATGAATATTTGTATATATTTATATATAATATGTAAGTGTATGTAATTAGTGTATTTATTGTATTAAAAAGTAGATCAATTATATTAATGTATGTATGTATTTATGTGTATTTTTTTTATTATAATTCTATTAGCCGCATTCAGGTATCTCTGCACATCTCAAAGTTTGACTGGGAGAGAATGCTATATCATTAAGTCCATCTTTTGTACCAAATTTAGTGGAGAATAAAGCAAATCTATATATATAAATGACATTGGAATGTCTGTTTGTAATATTGAAATAACCGTTTTTTACTACATGCATATGAATATAAATACGTTACATACACCAAAATGACATTTTTTACAATTTTTGTCTGTCTGTCTGTTTATTCCGGATAATCTCTGAAATGGCTAGACCGATTTTGACGAGACTTCTATTGGCAGGTAGCTGATGTAATAAGAAGTAACTTTTATTTTAGAAAAATAAATTAAAATTCCACGCGGAATAAGTCGCTGTATAGTTAGTAATTAAATTAAAAATCGCACAAAATAAGTGGCTCAGATAAATAAACACAATTATCATTAATTGTGTTTATTCATCTGAGCCACTTGTTCTGAGGTATCTGCTGTATCTGAGCTACTGAATTATGGAAATTCTAAAGTGTAATATAAAATATCTTGCAATAATTATATGTATTTACATATAATTATATTATATACCTAGTATACACGACCTCAGTGGTCGTGCGGTTTATCACACTGCGTTATTTCAGATGCTCGCGGGTTCGATTCTTTGTATTATAGGGTACATTTGTATTCACGTATACATAAGATTGTATCGGTATGGAATTTTTCTATATATATTATGTACGTAATTCCAAAAAAAAATGTATATATATATATTTGTATCAGTTGTCTAGTACCCATAATACAAGCTGTGCTTAGTGTGGGACTAGATGGCGTTCTGTGAGTGTTTGGCGTTACAAAAAAGTGAATCAGAGGTACCTGTGCAATCTACTCTGTATTAAGTCTATAGTAAAAGGAAATCATAGACAATATTATTAAAATATAGCTGTCTGTGACAGCTATTGTCAAAAACACGTTTATTCATTTTGTGAACAAATATTAAAAAAGTAATGTCATACATAAATTCCGCAGTATTAGAAAAATAAGTAATATAAATTTTGTATATGTTATCGTTACGATTACGATAAAATACAGTAAATACGATACGACCATTGTACAACCCTATTGGTTACAATGAGATCTGGGTGTGAGGGAGCGTGAAATATATGCTACTTTGCTCACACGTTTTAAAGGAACAAATCATAGACTATAGATTTATGTATTATTTTGCAATAGACATTGCATTTTTAATATATTTCTTTTTTGTTAATGAGTCAGTGTAGCGATATCTGCCTGCCTCGCTATCTAAAGGTCAGTTCGATGCCCGTACAATACAAATTTTGTATTTAGGCATATTTCCATTGTATGTTCTATATATATTTACAAACAAGAATTTTTATAGATTAAAAGTACTCATAGTACAAGATGGCGTCGTCTTTGATCCTGGATTCATTTTTTTTATACAAACTATTTTAAACCTGTCAACGCCACCCGGCTCTGTTCCCCGAGTTTCCATGATACCGCCTATTCTGCTGGGGCTGGTTGCCATGCCTGTTCTGATGGTACTGCGGTGACTGGGAGCGGTACTGGTTGGACTGATGATAACCATGAGAACCCTGGTTATTGTACCTATTCTGGTGGCCGTAGCCTTGACCCTGGTTGCCGTATCTGTTGTGGTACCCCTGATTGGACCTGTCCTGGCCGCCGTATCCTGAGCGGTTGAAGCTTTGGAAACTCTGGTAGTTCTGATTGGTGCTTTGCTGGTAACCTTGGTTCTGGTGGGGCACGTACCCGCCCCGGTGTGGTCCGAACGATGATCGATCTGCAACAAACGGAGATCGAATTGTAGACAGTCGACTTAAAAGATGTGAAAAGAACTTAAGTAAAATAGTACATAAGTACTTAAGTAAGTAGAACTTATAAACTGTTCGTAAAATACTTGATCAATTATTTTAATATCCTTAGTAATATTATAAATGTGAAAGTAACTCTGTCTGTCTCGATTTCCCGCCAAAACTATTGAACCGATTTAAATGAAATTTGGAACACATATAGTCTAGACCCTGAGAAAGTACATACGCTACTTTTTAATTCGAAACAAGGGTTTGTAAGGGGGTTAAAAAAGGAGATGCAAGGTTTTATGGTAGAATTGTCATTTTTAAAACTAGAAGCTTGAAACTTTGTTACGCTTTCACGCAAAAACTACTGAACCGATCATTATGAAATTTTGTACACACTTTTTATAAAAAAAAAACAAATATTTTTTATAAAAAAAGATCAACATTTTGCTACTTCATCTACTAGCGCCATCTATCAATCAGTAAATGAAGTTATAAATAAATTTTAAATCAGCGCCATCTAGCAGCCAGTAATGAAGTTATGCGAGCGAAGCCGCGGGTAAAAACTATTTAAAATTTCTCTACGAAGCAACCCTAGACATTCTCGACAAACACGACTGCAAATCGTCCTATAAGTAGAGACAAGCCTGGCACACGGCGCGCCGCAAGTGTTTAATCGTTCGCTTTCGCTTTGTGCCGTCCTAATGTTTTGAACATTAATGTTTGAACGGTGGAAAGTGCTTCCTAGTGTTTTAACCGACTCCAATAAAGTAGGAGCAAGTTCAGCGGTTATTTTTAAATGTTCGTTACTTCATAACTCCGTCGTTTATTATTATATATTTATATTAAAGCGATTTGTAAATTAACTCACTCCACACAAAAAAAAAAAAAGCCGTACAGAAAACTTTCTTTATTTGTTTTAATGTTAGTAACTTCATAACTCCTTCGCAAACATTTTTTTAAGAGTATTCTTTCAGATTATTCGCATGTTTTTAGTGTTTGTGTGGGTTTTTTTAAGAAAATTATCATCGCACCGACAGTCCTGGCTGTATCGCGCTGAGTCCCACCGTTTTCCAGCATTGTGCGGATTCTGGTGCATTCTTCAGGTGTGACAGGATTACAGGTTGAATAATAAATATTGAACACTATCAATATGGTTTATATATACCCACATATGTATATACCCACTTAACTGACAGATTCACAGATTAGAAACAAAAGCAAAATCAGATGCAGTAATTTCGTAGTAATTTTTTTTAATATCTTTTTTAAGGAGTATTTAATTAATACCTTAATTTAAGGAGTATATTAAATACAACTAAACATAATTTATATCATTAAGATAGCATTCTAAGTTTCCGAGATTTATATGTTTTTTAAGTGACCCGTATTCATAACTCTTGAGTAGAATAGAATAGAATAGAAAATCATTTATTCAAATAAACTTAATTTAAGCACTTTTGAATAGTCATAACAATTTGTTTTTTATCTACCACTCGTTCGGAAAGCTGTCTCATCACAAGAAGAACGAGCAAGAAACTTGTATGTTGCTCTTTTAAATAATTCTTGTAAGTTTACATTTACAAGTCGAAACGTGTGAATACAAACTACCAACAAGCACTAATTTTTTGGGTCAAATATAAATATGCTATAAGATTAAATCAGTCGTAGTGATAAGGGCAGACCAGTCCCTACAAGCAGCACTCGTTTCACGAGTATGACGAATGAGTCAGCCATCACTGCGCTCGACCATATTTTAGGGATGACCCGGCCCACCACGCCGCCACATGTCTGGACATTTTAGTGAGCATGACTACTCATTCCACACGACCACGTCACAGCTACAAAAATTACTATATGGTAGTTACAGTATTCGCACTTTACAGAGTGTACAAGTAAGTGCAATGAAATATATTTAATATCATATCCAGCAATTCTATGTACCTAAAGTAACACCTACCTAATATAATCTCGGTGAGGAGTCGGTCCGTAATCCGCTAAGCGCCTTTGTGCATGCAAGTTTTGGCGCAAATACAGCCACGATACGATATAAAGGGTTTTATTCATACTTTTAGTAAGTATGAATAAAACCCTATTATAAATGCGAAAATAACTCTGTCTGTCTGTCGGTTTCACGTCAAAACTACCGAACCGATTTAAATGAAATTTGGTACACAGATAGTCTTGACCCTGCGAAAGGACATAGGCTACTTTTTAATGCGAAAAACGGGTTGTAAGGGTTTAAAAGGGGGGATGAAAAGTTGTATGGAAGAATCGTCATTTTTGAAGCTAGAAGATTGAAACTTATTTTTGAGGCTGTTTTATTTTTATACTAATACATGATAGAGCTACTATAACACGCGGACGAAGTCTCGGTTACAGCTAGTAAATATATATATAACTAACTGTAAATTTGATTAGACAATACGTGATGGGTAAAGTCGTAGCATGTATTTTTTGGAATTATATAAACTGCCTCCACCCAGTTTATATAATTCCAAAAAATAATAATAATAATCTCAGGACAATTCACACAGCGCCATCTAGACCCAAGTTAAGCTAGCTAAAGCTTGTGTTATGGGTACTAGATAACTGATACATATACATAGATATATTTTTTTTTGTAAATACATACATATTATACATAGAAAACACCCAGACCGTTACAAACAATCATACTCATGAATACAAATGTTTGTGCCGTGCGAGGAATCGAACCCGCGACCATCGGTCGTAAAGCGGTGTGCTTGACCGCTAGACCACCGAGGTCGTCAATTCCAAAAAATATTCGATATTCGCAACACAGTTTTACACTTCTGTGAATATCATCGTTTCTTCAGTTACACATACACATGTTTTCTGTTTTAAGTAAATAAATAAAACAATAAATCGTCTATATAAGGTAATAAAAGGTATAAAATCAATCACTGCAATAAAGAGTTTAGAAATAAATAAAAACTTCAACATTCAACAGCACCACAAAATTTAATTCATTACTTGCGTTTCTTGTATTTATATATATAATATCTCCGCATATGATATTAGTTTATATAAATTATAGTTTATATATAATACAAAACCGATATATATACAATACTATATAAATACGTTACAAATACAATATATATTGCATACATCAACATTGTAATATTTTTGTACTTGCGTTTGTGTGTATTAATATATATTTTATAAAGTCTTTCTTTCTTCTTTTGCCTGGCCTTGGTATTTATTTTCGGCCCGTTGTATATTTATCCTGGGTCGTCTGGGATGTTATTTTGGCGCTTTTTATATATCTATAACGGACATCCATGTGAGACGGGGATCTTATGTCAAGCACTGTTCTTGTCATGTGGTCTGATGGTCGCCGCATGACATGAAAATTAATTGCTCTCTAAAATTACTGTATGTATATAAAACCTCGAACGTGGATGTTTTTGATTGATAGCATTATTAAATTTCTGCGAATTGAGTTTCTGCTCTTGGTGCTTTTTCACACATTCAGAGCCATCTCGTCATGGCCGTCAAAATTACATAAAGTGATGTAATCAAAATTGTACAGGAGGAAGGGCGGAGGTAATAATGGAATTGCCAAGTTTAACTTATGCAAGCCAAATATGGGTACATACGGAAAAATTAAAAAACAAAGTCCTGTCCTGTCAGCACGCAATCTGTACTCTACAGAATACATAAAATAAGGAACACAGTCATTCGCGAGAAGACAAAAATAAAAGATTCACTTCAACATGGCCTAAGACAGTTCAGGTCGTTACAAAGACAAAAGGTGGAATACCAATAACAAAACCGACAGGAAAAAGGCGAGTAGGTCGACAGAGAAAGAGATGGTCTGATGACATTAAAGAAGTGGCCGGGGAATAGAGGGAAATGGAACTACACATATATATAGAAAATAAATTAATTATATATAAAGCTTTAATATATAATGTGTTGTTATTTCAGAGGATTTGTTATTTACAGCAGAAATGAAAATAGCTGACAATATTTATTATTTATTTAACTGTTCCCGCGACTAGTTAGGGTGGAAATTAACTTTATTTTTCTAAAATAAAAGTAGCCTAACTTACTCCTTATTACATTTATATATATATTCCCGTCAAAATAGGTCAGCCATTTCAGAGATTAGCCGGAACAAACAGACAGACATTACTGACAGACAGATAGTCAAAAATGATAAAAAATGTTATTTTGGTGTATGTACCGTATTTATATTCATATGCATGTAGTAAAAAACGGTTATTTCAATATTACAAACAGACGCTCCAATTTTACTTATATGTATAGATTGCTTATATTCGTGTATATATATTTCATTGTGACGCGTATTATTTATTGTATATTTTCATTGATTCCTCTCAGTCACCAAGGTTGACTGGAAAAAAGCCCTCTTATGGGATAAGTCCGCCATTGTAATGTCCTTTTATTTATAATTTTATTGTACAACTATCTTTTGCCCGCAGCTTCGCTCGCGTTAATTTATCCAGATTTAATTTATTCATCAAAATCATTTAATAGAAATAGAAATAGAAATAATCTTTATTCAAACACACAAGCACTTTTGAATAGTCATATTTTGATTAATTTTTACCTAACTAATGTGTGTAGGCTTTTAATTAAATTATTTCTTTGATTTTATATGACACAAGGGGGTAGTCAGAATATTTTTACCATTATGTATAAAAAAATAGTTTGTTTTATGATTTTATAATCTTTATTAATTACTAATTAATTAATTAGAAATAGAAATAGAAATAATCTTTATTCAAATAAACTCATTACAAGCACTTTTGAATAGTTATACTTTGATTCTACCACTCATTCGGAATGCAGATTCATCACAAGAAGAATGAGCAACTTGTGTGTTTCTCTTTTTAATAGATGTTTTTTTTATATAAATAATTACATTTCTTAGGGGATGCCTACGTCATAGTAGCTTTATGCATGCAAAGTCTCAGCCCGATCGGTTTAA